AGGGATGGCCATACTTTAAACAATATTGTCTTTTCAATGTACCACTACATCTAATTATGGCCATGTACAAATCAACAAAATACAAAAACCAATGAGATCCAAATAATTACACTTTATTCAAGAACAAAATATTTTTAGTCGACAATCAGCAAATCTGCGAAACCACATGATTATAAGCTAAACATGAAGTGATTTTATATTTTGATAAAGTAGTCTTTTAAGTAAGGTAATGAGCTGAAGAAATCGGCGCAACAAAAGCATGAACATTAATGAAGATTTTTTTTTCCAAATCGCAAAAGACGCCATTTTGTTATTATTTAGAATCCCACCCTCCCCCTCCCCTACTTAAAATTAATACAGCGAAAACTCAAGTTGAGAAACAGAATGTAATACTAGTTTTCATTTGTAATTTGTGCATTTTGTTCGTTTGAAGCAACAAAAGGGTTCAAAATCTAATGAAGGATACTGAACAACTAACCTGATGAAGTTTCAGCTAAGCTTCAGCTGTACATTCCGAGAAAAACAGCATTCTAAGATCTTAATTTCAAATCAAAAGTTACTGAATCATGTTTTGAATTGTTTTGAAGAGCAGCTATACGCGACGTAGCGCACTGATCCGACGAATTATGACAACCGCGCGCGCGTGTGCGTCGTACCAATACTTGTGCGCGCTGCGCTGAATAACAAAACGAACTACTAATTTAAATTTTCCTACGGTGATTCTTAAGAATCTCCGTTGGAAATGCCTTCTTTAGTTGATTACCTCAAAATGACAGCTTTTCAGAAGGAATAATTTCACAGGGAGTTTAGTTCCCTTACAATCTTTCAACCAAGTTTGTTTTTCAACAATAATTACGCCAGTTACTTTTCGGATGGCTGCAAATGATGGACTATAGCTTTAAGTTTCATAATCGTGAAGTTTCTCACGTTGTACACATAGCGCGCTTTGGAAAAAAACTCTTCAAATCATTAAAATACTTAGGGCTTTATGAAAGTTCTGCAAATAGACAAGAATAAGTATATTAAACTTTCGCTTTTTTTGATGAAAGTATACGTTACATGTTTTGCTTGAATAGATGTTTTGATAATTGTATAAATTACACGCCAAAGGGGGAAGAAATTTCAAAAACAAATCATGATTTTGCACGTAAGTCCTTGCGAAGTCCACCGTTCATGCGTACATTGTACACGAACAGGTGTTACATGCTTCGACACTAATACCTAATAAGTACATAAAACTGGACATGAATTCAGTTCGTCCCATTCTGGCAGAATTATCCTGCAACTGTTTCGAAATCCTCTTATTCCACTTGTTAAGAAAGTTACTTAACCACGCAGTTATATTTACAGCAGCTTTGGTTATACATTGCTACAAAGTGAAGCTCTTTTTTTCTATAATATTAAATGTTAAGACGAGGAAATAATAAACAAGACAACTGGCAAGCCCCCTTTTGCTCGTCCCTTAAAACTTGGTATAAGTATTCAAAGTAGTCATCTGAGTGATATTTGGGGGCCCAGGTGAGGCTTTAAAAAATCGTATTCACAGGTGCCAGTACAACAGTGAGTCAGTGAGATAGGTACAAAGAGGACTGTAGGTTAGCCCTCTGGGACCAGCACAAAGGTAATCTCATCGGTTAGATTGCAAACAGAAGCATTCCGACAGTCTGCAGTGCACAGTGGTTACTTTTTGACAGGCCCTGTATAATTGTATGGTGACTATGAATTCAGGATTTTTTTTTACATTTTAGATATTTATCATGGAAAACTTTTGTCAACAAAGAAGCGATATTAGTGCACGGCATAGCCCCGATATGCTAAAGGATTGGGCAAATTGGGATAAAAACATGAAACTTCGCATGTTGGCTCTTCATCCCACGATTTTTTTTCATATATAAAGGCATTTCACTCTAAAAATTAATTCGTCATTGAAGCCTCTTTGTTTGTCAAAATGAATAACTTTGTTTAGTAATTGCTGAATGACTAATTATTTGTTATGGAAGACTAATTTGCCGTCAGTGATGACTAAAATAAGTTGTCATTTTGACTAATGTACATTAGTTACGGACTGGACTCGATCGATGACGCTATGTTAGGCGTACGTACGTGTATACGGATATGTTACACTCAGTTTGTCAGGCAGCCATTAAACGGACATCTTCCTTCCTCCATTTTAACCATGACGAAGGTAGGAAAAATATGATTTCGTATGAAGTTGTTAATTGACATGAGTTATGAAATGAGAGTACGGTTGTGAGGGAAGTGGGTTGAATCAGTAAGAATAAGCTGTAGCCTATAGATACCGAGTGAGACTCTTACAAAAGTTTATGCTTGTACTTAGGCACATCTTTATGCTGCAAAAACGTATGCGGTAGGTTATAGGCCTAATACATTCGTATCAGCCATGTCGTTGTGCAATTTCTTTGCAACACACTAGTGAGTTTGTTGTGCCAAACAACTCATGTACCAATTCCTATACTAAGGATAGGAGGGGAACTATTACATGATTAAGAACATTCCACAATTTTGTTGATTTTGAAATATGGACATTAAATTTTGAGTAAAAAAAAACGAGGAGAAAAATAAATAATATGCAACAAATAAAGAAAGATTTTCTCTGTGTGTTTCTTTTGCAGATGTGAGCATGATCATGCAGCGTTAGATGCAAGGAGCTAAACACTGGCCCTGTGATCCAATTGCACAACGAGTGAGATACAAGTCAGCTGTGACCCCATATATTGTGACTCGGAGATGTACACATTATGGTGTACCATTAAGGACACTAGAACGGACACAAAAAAGTGCTAATTCAGTGGATATTGTCTGGACTAAAGTGTGATTAGTCAGAAATTCAGTTACAAATCGCGCAAGTCGCTTGACTACAAATTAGTCGTATCAAGCAGGTTTCTATTCTTGTCATATGACTATATTTTCTAGTCTGGATCTGACTATTGACTAATCTATAGTCATTAGTCATCAATACTCTGTGACTAATTTAGGTAAGTCGTACGAGACATATCACTGGACATTTTTTTTTTAGTCAAAATGACAAATTAATTTTTAGAGTGTTCATATTTGACCTCTGGTGACCTTTGAGAGGTCAATATAATTTACATACTCTATTCATAACGTTTGTTCTTCAAAACTTCACTTTCCTATGACCATATGTCATGGGTCTTCATATCATGAACATAGTGGGAAGATGTGGGAACATTTCATATCTGACCTCTGGTAACCTTTGAGAGGTAAATGACCTTTCAAAACTTGTTTATTGATATTTGTACCATTTATTATTCAAACCCCATCTTTTTTTACAATTCAAGTCTAAATGAAAGGTATTCATGCTATAAAGAGAATTTTCATATATAGCACATTTTAAATTCAACCACTGGTGACCTTACGAGAGGTCATGACCTTTGTAAAACCAAAGCCTACCTATGAATATTAACATGATTTACACAATTGTAAATGCCTTTTTCATGACCCAAGTCTTACACTTGACTTTTTGTGCCATAAAAAGAATGTTCATATGTGGAGACATCATATTTGAATTAGCGATACCCTCGAAGAGGTCAATGAACTTTGTATTTCCTCGTTGCCGTTATTTATCATATTTATTCGAGCCTCAATTGTGCCAAAGAACAGTACTGCACCTATAAGTTTAATGTCATGATATGAATTCAGACCCCACCAACAATTTTGAGGTGACCTCTGACCTCGTTTCTCCTTTGTTTTATTGGCAGACGCAATATGATGAGATTCCAAAAGACATTTTGTGGGTCCGTTTTGTAATAGAAAATGTACATGCTTCAAGCAACATTCCATCTTGTGTATATATTACACCCTGCTATATCAAGATGGACTTTGATAACTACGTTTTTAACCTTTTTACCAAGCCAAATGGTCACTGTTAGAGAATGATGCTTGTCCGATGTGCCGCTTATATGCTTTCGCGTCTACGTCTGCCCTTATAAAAGAAAAATTTAGATCCGAGGTCATGCGAAAATTCTTTGTGATCTGACTTCATGACATGTTGTATAATTATTGTTCAAATACACGCCTTTTGCTCTAATTAGACTTGGGTCATGGCATTGGGAAGATCAAACATGATAAATAACGGCAATCAGAGTATACAAAGTTCGTTGGCCTCGCAAAGGGCATCAGAGGTCAAATATGAAATGTGTGGATATCTGAAAATTCACACCATGCCAAGAATACCCACAATTTAGATATGGGTAATAAAAAAGTGGTGTTTGGAATAGTTACTCCTCTTAATATTATCCTTAAATAGGATACGCAATTAAAGTTCATTGACCCCTTGAAGATCATCAGAGGTCAGAAAGGAGATTCCCTACATATTAAATTCTTCTCATAGCATAAGCCACTTAACATTATGACTCGGGTCTTGAAAAAGTTGGGGTTTAAAGGGTAAATCGTATTAATAACTATAAATAGAGTAAGTGCAGTTCATCAGAGGTCAATTGTAATTTTTTTTCACATTTGGTCGTTATTTACATTGTATGAAGACTATGCACAGGCTTAGGTCATAGGAAAGTGATGTTTTCAAAAACAATACGTATTCAAAGGTCATTGACCCCTCAATGGTTAACAGGGGTCAGATATGCAATGCCTTCATATCTGAATATGTTGTAATGGTATGAAGACCTCACATGCCAAGTTTCATGCTTTTATCACAAAATGCACCATTCTGTCCCTAAGACGCACCACAACGAAGAATCTTTTGAAATGAATGTAACTTCAAGGTTCACAAATTCATACCAGAACCGAACAATGAGTAGGCCTAACAAGTCCTTTTGGGTGTGTTATGTTGATAACTTCATTAATATACCAAATATTTAGGCCCGCCAACCGCGCACGTGCACCGATGCCTTACTGCGTGATCCAGACGTGCGCGTCTCATACGCATTTGCAAGCATGTCAAACATAAATCGTGGCTGTAATTGGTCGAATTACTATGGGGAGGGGCTTATTAGTGGATCGGTCTATTGCAGTTCCAGGTAACTACTCGTCACTTCATTCTCGCCGATATCACGATCCACCTGCTGGTAGGCGGCGTTGTCAGTGTCTTTTCCGTGTCCGATCCGCGTTTCGTACGCATGATCAGAGACTCTGGTCCCTGTGACGTCATCGTCTCGCATTGTTGTTACCAAGTACGGAATTCCCGAAAGTCCCGTGTCTGGTGGTTGATTTTCCCCGACGGGTGTGGCCGTTTCCCCCTTTGGATCGTTCCCTCGCCTCTTGACTATCTGTGGACGCTTTCTTATGCACGCCAGGGAAACCAGAAAGCCGACAACGAACGATGCAGGGATTCCCACTGCAGCCACGATGTGCCCCGTCTGAGTTTCATTGGTGACTGCGCGAGTAGGAAGCATGGTTTGCGTTGAGCATACCTCCACAATTGTTGGAACTCGACTAGATGTGGTTGGAGTATTTAGCAGGATGGGACAGACAGAGCAGCTACGATTCTGTCCTGGAAATGCAGAACTAGTCACCGTGCATACCAAGACTTGATTCTGCAGGTGCTCCCCGAGTTTAACGACGCTCCTCACGCGTTCGCTCTGCGGAAGTTCAGTGCTGTAGATGCTACCTGTGACTTCCTTGTCAGAATGGTCCACTGTCCAAGTGATGGTGACCTCAGGGTTGCCGATCGCAGCGTCGCACCACACGGCGATGCTTTCGGTTGAAATCCAATCGCTTTTATTCGTGGCACAGATTGGGTTTTCTGCCGGAAAGTACTGCACCGATACGAAGATGTATCCAAACAAAATAGCACCTCTCCACTCAGCCCGACAAGTGTACCTTCCAGCATCCGATTCGGTGATGTCGGTTATTTGCAAAGAATATGCATTGTGCTCGCCAAACGAGCGAGTTGCAATGGAAACTCGGGGATCATTTGTCTGAATGATGGAATTCAGGGTGAGCCAATTAGTGTCTTCGGATCCATTTGACTTACCCCACCAAACTCGATATAAAGCTTTGCTCGAGGCAGAGCAGTTAATTGACAGTGTCTTGCCTTCTTTGATATTAATGAACTCGCTGGCTGGCCTAGCTGAGCCTTTAGTCAGAAACAGAGGAGTCACTTCTCGAAGAATGCAACTCAGCAAAACCACACTCAGCAGAAGGAAGTACACGTACCTCCAAGACGCTGGCTGAAATTGTACCTGTTGTTGCTTGAGTAGCATCATGATGTGTCTCGTGGTTTCTTGTGCGCTCTCAACTTAGATTAGCTGCCGTGGCGCGAATAAGTAACACTTCACACATGTTTACCTATACGAATTTGATATTGAGTCACTCAGTTATTCATCGTTTCCTGTTTATAACTTGTAACTTGCGGCTGACATGTTATGATAGTGTCACAGGTTTTCCTTTTGCCTCTCAGTCATAGAAAAGAAACTTGTGCACGCCAATGTAAAACAAAATGTGTCATAACAGAACGATGCATTTCGGCATTTCTTTCGTTTTGTTTCCTGATTTTATTTTATTTATCTAACTATAGGCTACTTTGTAAACACACACTTTCAGTGTTGGAGTTCATATTCGGTTGATGGCGACGTTTTTAAGGCAAATTTAGGGCGGAAATGAATATTATGTTAAAATCAATTGGTCCTTTACGGTCTCCCCAGTTTAAAAAAAAAAAAAAAGGGTCAATAGCCTCCTATACAGGGTGACCCCAAAAATGCATACCTGATAAATTGCGGGGGGGGGGTTCAAAAACGCGATCTGTATATATCAGATTAAGCAGAGAGTTTTTCTTTCAAATACATGTTAAAAGACCCATAAAAACAGCACATTAGATTGCTGAGAAAATGCCAATTATGTAAAATGGTGCTTCAAACAGTTAAACATGATACTGTTCGCCCATTGTGCAGTTGTCTTCCATTTGTGCAATTTCTTCAATAAATTGCAATATTTATGATGCCTGAAAGGCTGATAATTGAGCTAACAAAAAAGGTATTTCCATCAAATTCGTTTGCACTCTTGTCATATTATGTGCCGTGTTTTGGTGCTTTGTTGGTAAGATCTAGGACACAATGCGGTACATGAATTTTATGCACAAATAGGTACAGTGTTAGTCCCTTAACTGTGGTAGTGTCATTAAAATGGACCAAAAATGAGGTGCGTTAAAAAATTGGCATATTCTCAACAACAGAATGAGTAGTAGGTGAGGGGAAAATTGGGCATTGTTGGAGGCTTTTGTGAGGAGGAGGAGTGAGTTAAGGAGTGAGTTGTGAGGAGGAAGTTTGTGATGAGGAGGAGCAAGTTGTGGATCTGTGAGGAGGAGGAGGATTAAGTTGAGGAGGGAGTTTGTGAATCAAGTTGTGGATCTGTGTGGATCAAGTTGTGGATCAAGTTCCATTTATAGATAGAATAAACGCTGAAAAGATGGGGAAAAAAGACGGCGGCGGCGGTGGCGGTGTCTGCGCATGTCAGAGGAGTTCCAAGTTGCGCGCGCGCGTTTTCTCCTACTCCTCGCCGTCGAGGAACATCTGCGTTCTTGTTAGCAATTTATTTGAAATGATCTCATCATTTTCCATTTAATAATGTTGATTTCCTGGTTCTGCTCAGTATATCTGCCGATCGTATACGTATCCGGGTTTTTTTTTCAATAGACATGACTGAGCAAATAAAATGTGCATGGTTCAAAAACTTTCCATTGAGACGGGCTTACTTTTCATGTTTAATTCCTTGTTTTCCATTGTTGATATCGATCCCACGTGTTCGAGGTTTGTATAGTCTTTATTATCTATGTGCTTCATAAATTGTCCTTGGTTGTTGCAGCGCAGTGTTGTGATGACGTGGCTCAGGCTTGATTCTGTGCCAGTTCGCGCCCGTGTAGCAGGAATCCCAGCATTACATTACATTGCTCTGGTAATCAATGTCAGATTATTCCTGTTGACACCTGCAGGTCTTACGACGCGATCAGTACGGGAATTAAGTGGCCCACGCTTCGCACCTCTGCACCCACGTTTACGTTTGAGCAATCAAAGGGCATTTTAAATTATCATAACAGGGCTTGTCGATGAAGCATTTAGTGCGAAGGGACAATAATTGTGCAACAAAAGCATGAACTTTAATGAAGATTTTTTTCCAAATCGCAAAAGGCGCCATTTTGTTATTATTTAGAATCCCACCCTCCCCTCCCCTACTTAAAAGTAATAAAGCGAAAACTGAAGTTGAGAAACGGATGCACGACGGTGTACGCATACGTTTTTCCTGTCGAACGCCAATGTGGTTTCTCATACGTCCGCAAAAGGCGAGCACTTTACTTATCTATATAGCTTGGGTTGTTTTCTTTTGGGGGTGGGGTTGCAAATGGGGAACCCTGAAATTCGTTCTTGCACGAAATAAATCAAAACGCCCAGATTTAAACGATGGTTGTGTTATACAATGCTCTTTCCGATAAACATCATTCGAGAAGCATTGCTCAATCGGGCACTGTCCATGCCGTAGTGTCCCTTTAAAAACCAACGTTTTTGTTATGGCTATAATGACGCTTTTTAAACCAATGAATCCATTCCTTATTGTACGCGCATCTGTAGACTTAAAGATATAGAGCCTAATCGATCAATAAGCTTCCATGGATAAAGCGACATCCGATCGGACGAGTGTAATGTATACAGTAGAATGTCACAGGTGCAAGTGTACTAGCATTCGCTCTGTCTGACGCCAAAATCTTCCATTTCTACGATCACCGCGCACAGATATATATTTTACTTGGGTGATTCTAGTGGCAGTGTAGAATAGTGCCATTGGTATTGTATCGAATAACAAAAGGAATATAGGTGCACGGAGATAATTAATTGCGTATCATCATGGAACGACAACCAATTTCCGTACATACGCATGGATTATTAGCTATCTTGGACCTTCGATTTATCAAACACTATGCCTCACACCACGGCCTACGGTGGCCCCTTTCGAGAAATATCGATCGTTTTATAGAACCGCACGGAGTTATCAATAATTACTTCCGGTCGCTTAAAGTCCTATTGTCCGACAGATTACACACTAGCCACACGAGAGCGCACGTGCGTCAACAGTCCATTGTCCGAAAAGATTATCTGGGATTGATTCTCACTTCCGGCCACCTACGTGTACGTCAACAGTCTATTGATCCGAGAGGATTAACTACTGCGGCCACAGGTGGCCGTGTTAGGGTTGCGTAACCGCATGTAATGTACGTGTAGATACATAACTACATGTATACTGTATTGTTAGGGCTAAGGTCAAATTGTACTATAACTTTTTATATTTTCCCCTATACATATATGGAATCTTTCTCATAGAACAGGTCAAACTGTACCCGATTCCTTACCCTCATCAATTCCTTATTTATCCCATCCATACAAAAGGTCAAACTGTGCCAGAATTTCCTAACCCCATTAATTCATATTTATATCTGTATCTACATATTTACATCTGTATGTGACCTTTACATATTTCTATGCCAAAGGTCAAAGTGTTCCAGGGAGTCTACCTCCACTACTTGCTGCTGCTGCTATAGTTGACATATTCGTACACGGCGTCATCGTCCTGTGTCCCCTGAGGGACGAAGTCGTAGACAGTGTCGTCCGGGACGACACTAAGACCGTGTTCCACACTCCCATCCATTTGTGGTACGTCTGCGTAAGTGACCAATCCGCAAGAAGTGTCCAACTGAACTTTGACCCGGGAGTTTTGCGATTTCCGCCCTTGCTTCAAACTCACTGCGGTAGTTTCCCCCTTGGCCCCATGCACCAATTCCGTAACTGTGTTAGGGATTAAAGAAGCAGCATCGGTCGTCGCATCGTCGCTCCTATCTTCGGAGATTCCTGCATTTGTGTTCTCACTCTCGAGTTCTCGATGCCTCTTCCGTTTCAGGATGCACATCACCAGAACACAGCTGACAATCATAAAGAAAGGGGTGAGTAGTGCCGCTGCAATTATGCCAGCGTTGGAATGTGGGACGTTTGAAGTCTCTGCATATACAGTAACAGCTGTTGGAACTCGACCAGGGGCGGTTGGGGTATTTAGAAAGATGGGACCTGTAGAGCAGCTCCGATTCTGTCCTGGAAATGCAGAACTAGTCACCGTGCATACCAAGACTTGATTCTGCAGGTGCTGCCCAAGCTTAACGACACTCCTCACGCGTTCGTTCTGCGGTAGTTCTGTGCTGTAGACGCTACCTGTGCCTTCCTTGTCAGAATGGTCCACTCTCCAAGTGATGGTCACCTCAGGTTTGCCGATCGCAGTGTCGCACCACACGGCGATGCTTTCGGTCGAAATCCGATCGCTTTCATTCGTGGCACAGATTGGGTTTTCTGCCGGAAAGTACTGCACTGATACGAAGATGTATCCAAACAAAATAGCACCTCCCCACTCGGCCCGACAAGTGTACCTTCCAGCATCCGTTTCGGTGATGTCGGTTATTTGCAAAGAATATGCATTGTGCTCGCCAAACGAGCGAGTTCCAATGGAAACTCGGGGATCATTTGTCTGAAGGATGGAATTCAGGGTGAGCCAATTAGTGTCTTCGGATCCATTTGACTTACCCCACCAAACTCGATATAAAGCTTTGCTCGAGGCAGAGCAGTTCATAGACAGTGTCTTGCCTTCTGTGATATTAATGAACTCGCTGGCTGGACTAGCTGAGCCTTTAGTCAGAAACAGAGGAGTCACTTCTCGAGGAATGCAACTCAGCAAAACCAGACTCATCAGAAGGAAGTACACGTATCTCCAAGACGCTGGCTGAAATTGCACCTGTTGTTGCTTGAGTAGCATCATGATGTGTCGTATAGTTCGCTGCACGCTCGTGACTAAGATTATCTGCTGTGGCGCGAATGAGTAACACTATACACTGTAATACACATGTATACCTATTCGAATTTGATATCAAATCACCCAATTATTTATAATTGCCTCTTTATAACTTGTAACTTGCAGCTGGCAAGTTGCGATAGTGTCACAGGTTTTCCTTTTGCCACTCAGTCATGTAATGTAAAAAAGAAACTTGTGCACGCGAATGAAAAACAAAATGTGTCATAACAGAATGATGCATGTCAGCATTTCTTTCGTTTTGTTTCCTTATTTAATTGATTATATTTATTTAACTACAGGATACTTTGTAAACACTTTTTCAGTGTTGGATTTCATATTCGATTGATGGCGACGTTTTTAATAATAAATGCAAATTCAGGGCGTA